TGGGTAAGTGCTTAACCATTGTGTCACCAGGGACTCCCCTTAGGGCATTGTTGTTAACTGTGTTGTTGATGGATTGATATAGTGATAAGACAATGGGGGTCGGTGTGTCAGAGTCAGAGAGACTGGCTCAGCACCGGGCAGCCTTCAGACCTATTGTACAGAGGGTCGCGTGGCAGGCCGTGGGGTGGTCAGTGCTCTTCTCCAGCACCACAGCTCAAAGGCTTCAATTCTTCTTCTGTCATCCTTAGTCATTGCCCAGCTCTCAGATATATAGCAGGTCACCGAAAAGAACATGACCTGAATGAAGCAGATGCACCTTAGTCCTCAAACATCATTGCTCCTCAATAATTAGGAAGGGTCTCTGATTGCAGACTTCTCCAGTGCAATGTATTTCCCAATTTCCTAACTGCTAGTGTCAAGGGTGTTGATTGTGAATCCAATTAGATGAAATCATCGACAACATCAACCATTTTTCCATCTCTCGTGATGTTGCCTGTTGGTCCAGTGCTAAGCATCTTTGTTTCCTTCATGTTGAGATGCAATCCATATTGAAGGCTGTGTTCTTCCTCAGACCAGTGGGAGGTGTTTTCTCATGCCCCTGCTCTATGCTTCAGTTCCTCCCAGGGCACCTGAGCTGGTCAGCTCTGACCCACCCACCCACGTGTGGCTAGACGCAGAGTGAGACAGGTCGGCTGTGCCTGTAGGGTCTCCAGTTCCTTACCTGGATGGAAGACTGCTCGTGAAGAGAGAGCAAGAAATGGCTTCAGGAATCAGAGACGCTGATTTTTCTCCAAACCAACCACTTCGACCAGCTGTCACGTTCTCTCCTTGTGGAGAGCTGTGCCCGGCACTCCACCCAGTCAGGGAGCCCGCCGCAGGGGCTTCCAAGGCCTGGTCATCCGGCAGTGAGTTGCCAGGCCTTTTATCTGAGGCACTTCTGGACATATAGGCAGGCCAATAACATAAGAGAATATAAATTAATGTTGTTGTGTGTGACTCAAATCACATAGCGACCCATGTGCAACAACAGCTCTGAAGCCTGCCCTGTCCTGAGCCAGTCTCACTGACTCCGACACACCTGCCCTCATTACCCCAGCTACTGTATCCATCCACCTCGTCCGGGGTCTTCCTCTCCTGTGCTGTCCCTCCGCCCTAGAAACCTATAAACAGAAGCTCAATGTTATACTGTAAAGAAGCACTATAAACCTTGTGGAGGGAAAGAACTAGTCGACAGATCATGTAGCAAGAATTGGTTAGCTATTCAATGCAACTTTTTTTAAAACTTCATATATCTGTATAAATGTCAAACAGACTAAGACATTAAATGTGAAAAATTAATCTATAAATAAATTTTTAAATATAGAAGTAAATGTTAATCAAATTTCTGGGTGGGAACTAACTTCTTAAATGTCAAAGGAACATTAAAAATTGCAAAAAGAAATTATAGTTTTGACTATGTAAAATTTAAACATCTATCCCAAAGGCTCGTGATTTGCCTCGACTGACCACTCCATAAGAGAAGGATGGCCAGCCTCCTCCCGTGTGATTTACTGCCTCTGAAGGCCACTGGAGAGTCAGCTGTGGGTTGGTTCTGACCGGACAGCAAACAGCAGCAAGTTTCATAAAAGGAGCCCTGGTGGCTCAGGGCCTTGTGTGTTGTGCTGCTACAGGAAAGGTTGGCAGTTTGGATCCATCAGCTGCTCTTTAGAAGACAGACGGACAGTTTCCTCCCATAAGGGTTTACACCTTCAGAAGCCCAGTGGAGGAGGAGCCACCAGGAGCTAGAATTGGCCCAAAGGCCAACTCTTCTAGGTTGTATAGCCCTGGTCTGTGTATTGCCGTACAGAGGTAACTCATGGTTGCTGTGAAGCTGAACACTGTGACACTGATATGTCAAATGTGGTAATGGTTACCATGGCGGACAGTATTTGGTGGAATTCCCCGATTAAAACAAGCTTGGAAACAGGAGTGGCATCCACTTCCAAAGAGCTTGCCTACAGAGACCCTATGAACCTGGAGAAAGGATGAAAGTTATACAAATGTTCAGGTCTTTTGTTCATAGTGTCGCTGAGTTGTCTACGACTTGACGGCGCTCAACAACAACAGAAAGTGTAGAAAAATGGCCAATAACGTGGGAACAATTGTAACAAAAATCATGAAGACAAAAATTTCTTGTCTCATTACAGGGGAAATACACACAAATGTACAAGGTGTTGAAGCTCCCGGGAGACAGGAGCATAGAGCATGCTGGGTTCTCTAGAGTCGCCTTCACAGACACCACAGGGGGTGACTCAATAAACAGAACTGTGTTCTCGTATAATTGGACCAGAGGCCTTGTTTCCAGGCGCCCGCGCCAAGGGAAGGCCGTCTCTCGCTGTCCACTCTGGAGGAAGGTCCTTGATTGCATCAGCATCTGTAGTCTGCTGTCCTTGGAGCGTCCTGGTGCGTGGAGTCTTCCCTGTGACACGGGGCTTCCTTACAGGGACCTGAGCCCCGAAGGGCGTGCTCCACTCCTGGCAACAGTTTCTTGGTACTGTGGTCCCCTCTCTTGGTTTATTTCCTTCCCTTGTATCTTATGTGAGATGAAAGGTTTAACAGGACAGTCTATGAGTCTAAGAGACTTCCTTACATCTGACCATGGCCATGGTGGGATTGAGGGGCACTGCACTCCAACCTTAATCCTTTGTTAAGTATTTTATTAGTTCACAAGAGATCATTACATAGTCCAGTGTGCATCAAGAGTCTTGGCAGTGACCTCTAATCAAAGACATGATCAGCCTGATTTCACCTGTGTCCCTTAGGATCTGACCTGTGCCCTCTGGAGCCAACTTTGTCCTGGTCGGGGGTGTGTGGGTGACAACCTCCCCATCACATGCCGTGCGTTATTTCACTCCTTTCCTGAAGCTGGGGCTTGATAAGAGGCACACTTGCCCTCCTCTGTCCCAGTGCCTCTCACAGGACATGTCATAGGCATGAATATCATTAAGAACGACACTTGGCCACCACCAGCCCAGCTGGAACTCATGTTGACTCCAAAGGGGTGGCAGAGAGCATCTTCACTCTAGTGTTTTCAAGACTGTGGCCTTCTTCTGAGGCACACCTGGATGGGTTTGAACTGCATAGTAGGCAAATGTTAGGCGAACACACCGCTCAGGAACTTGGCCAAAGTTTGGGTCACCACAGGAAGGGGAAGACTTGGATGTCCAACCAAGAAAAAAAATGGGCAATTTTCAAATACACGTACAGTTGTAAGCATACACACGACACCCGTGCAAAGTTTCTAATAGGACTGTTGTTGTTGTTGTCCGATGCTGTGGAGTTGGCTGTGGCTCAAAGTGACCTAAGAACAGATCTGGCCCTGTCCTGTGCCATCTTCACCGTCTCTGATAGACGTGGCCCCATGGTGCTAATCACTGTGTCAGTGCACCTTGCTAAGGGTCTTCTCCTCCCACACTGCCACCTCTGCCTTTCCTAGTGTGATGTTCTTCTCCAACAACCGGCCTCTCCTAACAACATGACCATCCTTGCCTCCAAGAAGCAGCCAGTCACACTTTCTCCAAGACGTACTTGTTTGTTCTTTTGGCAGCTCATAGGCCGCTCAGTACCCTTCTCCAGCACCAGACCTCAAAGGCAGTGGTTCTTCTGTTGTGCTTAGTTATTGCCCAGCTTTCAGGTGCACAGCAGGTGATAAAAAAGGACCATGGCTTGTACCAGGGGCACCTTAGTCTTTAAACTGATGTCCTTGCTCTCCAGCACATTGGAAAAGTCCTTGACAGAAGACTTTCCTCTTGTGATATGTGTTTTGATTTCTTTGTTTTGTGTGTGTGTGTGTGTGTGTGTGTGTATGTATTGATTTCTTCTTGATTGTGGGTATCAAGGGTGTTGATTGTGAATCTAAGTAATATTAAAAGATTGAAAAGTTAATCTTTTTTATTGTTCATTCTTTTAATTAATTTAATGAAAGTTTACAGAGACTTAGGGTTTCCAGTCATTCGTTGTTGCTGAAACTTTCATCTTTTCTCCCTCTATCGTGACATTGCCTGGTGGTCCAGTGGTGAGGATTTTTGTTTTTTTGATGTTGAGATGTAATCCGTATCGAAGGTTGCCTTCCTTGATCTTCTGCAACAAGTGCTTCAAGTCCTCCTCACTTTCAGCAAGCAAGGTTGTATCATCTGCATAAACAAGTTATTGGTGCTATTTCCTCTGCTCCTGATGTCACATTCTTCTTCACAGAGTCCAGCCTCTCGAATGATCTGCTCGGCACACAGATCGACTGGGATGGAGAAAGGATGCCCGCCTTTCATGCCTAACTGATTGCTGCAGCCACTGTGCAAACCCATCTCCTAAGGGTCTTCTTCTTTTTCACTGACTGGCTACTTTACCAAGCACGATGCCCGTCTCCAGTTCAGCACAGCAAAAAGCCCCAAACCCCACGAGATGACCTCTCACCATCCTAGCTCCTCAGGAGAGCTCTGGTTTTACTTCTTCAGGGCAAATTTGTTCTTCTGGCAGTTCTCATATGTGCAATATTCTTTGCCATTGTGAGAATCTAGATTATAGGTCAAATATGAAGCAAAGGGGCAGAAGAGAGGAAGATCTTCAATGAGATGGACTGATGCAGGGACTGCAACAGTGGCCTTGAACGTGGTGGAGACTGTGAGGGTCCCTGGGAGTTGTAGTTGACTCCTCACAACAATCTGAGTCTCGGGGTGACCCAGACGGTGGTGGTGTTGTCAAGTGCTGTGAAGTCGCAGACCTCTCATCGCGATCCTATGAACGAAGTCCTGGACACCTCCTGTATAACTTTTGTCTTATCTCCAGGTTCATAGAGTTTCCAGAGGCCAACTATCATGGAAGTGGATGCCACTCCTGCTTTCAAGCTTGTTTCAACCGGGGAGCCTCACTAAACACTGTCCACCACGGGTAACAGTATCCGGCTTCACAGCAACCCCAAGTTACCGCTGTACAGCAAGTGGACATACCAGAGTTACACGACCTAGATGGCGCGTAACTAAAACCCCAAACACACCAAACCCATTGCTGCCGAGTGGGGTGCAGCCTGAGCACACCTTGCAGAGCCGTGGAAGAAAGAGCTGGCAGACTGCTCCCTAAGGTTTCAGAAGCCCAGGAGACCCGTGGAGCAGAACTTCTCTGTCACCAGGGCCCACGTGGTCAGACTGCAGACTGGGCTCAACACCAGTGGGTTAATTCACTTTGTTGGGGTTTACTATGTGGGAGACACGAGGGGAAGCTGGAAGGCAGGTGGCCACAGTGCGGCCTGAGTCCCCACGACCATTCTTCCAAGGACCCCTGGGAGCACAGTGGGGAGCACTGGGCTGCTCTCTGAAAAGTCGAGGTTCCAAACAGCATACTGCTCCATGGGAGAATGATGACGTAGCCTGCCCCTGCGACGTCTGCAGCCTCCGAGACCCCCGGGAAGGGTTCTCTGTCCCTCAGGCTCGCTATGAGCTGTGATCGACTTGACGTATGTGTGTGTGTGTGTGGGTGTGTGTGTGTGTGATATTTCAATGCATTCACGGAGTTGGCAAGTATTAATTGAGCATCTGGTATGTTAAAACTCGAGGGATGTAAAGATAGATGTGGTGGTTGGGAATGTAGAACACAGACATAAATGAAGATTGTGGGGACACAACTGTTGGTCACGGGCATGGTAGTCTTCTCTGTGCATCGACAGTCATGAGCTTGAGTTTGGGGGTTTATTTTTGTTTTCATTTTAGTTTTAGAGCAAACTTACTGGCACACAGGGTGCAAGGTGCCTTCTGACCTGATGGCACTAAGGTAAGGGCTGGGGGCAGAGTTCGCATCAAAGCCCAGAAGACAAGCTCCTGCCAAGAAAAAGGGGATAGTCAGCCCAACACCGCCGATGGCTTTGGAACTTGATGGGGGATTTTCTCAGAACCCTCACACCACCTGTAAGAATCAGGCATCACTGTCTCAACCTCCGGTGTTAGGGAGCCCTGGTGGCCCAGGGGTAGGAAGCTGCACTGCAATTCCAAAGGCACACAGTTTGAATCCGTCAGCTGCTCTACAGAAGCAGGATGGGTCTCTGAAAACCTGCTGGTGGATCAGCTGTGGGTCAGTTCTGACTCAATGACCCACAAGCACCACCTCCGGTGAGGATCTGAGGTCTCACTGAGGCTTGGGATGCAGTGGCTTAAGTGCTCACATCTATCATGTGCATTGGTGGTTCAAAGCCACCACCTGCTCTACGGGAGATAAGTGAGGCCTTTGGTTTCCACACAAAGGCAGGCTTGGCGACCCCACCTGCAGCTCTGCTCCGTCCTGTGGGGTCACCGGCAGCTGGAACCAGCTGGACAGCTGGGGAAAACGTTTCTGAGGTGTAGATGAGAAAGGAATACAAGGGTGGCTGAGCAGACAGAGGTGTCCAGACAACGGGTACCAGGAGTCCAGGGGCCCCCTACTCACCTGTGACAGGGCAGCCTGCAGGCTTTGTGCCACGTGTCACACACCCCACTCCCAGCAAGTTGCTTCCCACTCAGTCGACCCTCAGCCAGGTTTTTGAGGAAAGGGAGGAGATTGTCCATCTTTTTCTCTCTGAGCCCCGGTGGATTCGAACCTTGGGCTCAGCAGTCTGACAACGTACACTATGCCGCGGGGTGTTTAAGATTCAAGCCCCATGGCCAGGGATGTGATGGGAATGTGGTTGACCCCAACCGCCAAGGAGGGAACGCTCACCCACCGCCCTGTGACCATCACTCCCTTGACCCCAAGCCTCTGCCAGGGAGTCCCAGCTGCCAGGTTTACAGAGCCGACTCCAACGCCTGTCTCCCTGGGAGCAGGGCTAGTGGGTCGAACTACTAACCACTGGGTTAGCAGCCGGATTCTGCAACCACTCACTGAGCCACAGACCACTAATGTGGGGAAAGATGCCTGCGGAGTGGGGGCTGCTGTCAGCTCAGGCCTGAGCCTCCAAATGCAGCAAAGGACAGTGCGTGGAGCTCCTGAAGTGGACTCCCTCCCGGACAGGCCTGCCCCTCACACTTCACACTGGGGTCCCCGAGTTAGGGAGCCTCTCCCCTTCCTTAGGAAGCCTCCCAGTTGGGAGCCCACCCCTTCAGAGGCCCCTGAGTCGGAGACAAGCCCTCCATGGGAAGACCCCGAGGGTGAGGCCCTTGGAGTCCCAGGGAAGGGGGGTCTGAGAAGTTCTGGGGTTGGAGGACCCCTATGTGGGAGGCCCCCGAGTTGGAAGGGTCCGGATACAGCTCCCTCCAGGGCCCCTCCTCGGCCCGGCCACGCAGCAACCCCGGGGCGGCCGCCAGCCCCCAGGACTGAGGCCAGGCCGCCCGCAGCGCACAGGAGAGGCCCGCGTCGTCCGTCCCTGCCCGCCTCGCGCCGCCACCAGGATTATGTAACCGCCGCCGTCACCAGCGCAGGACCAGAATCCCGAGTCACGTGGCAGATGGACTCCCTCCCCGACCCCAGGTGGGGGGCACCTCGGCCCACCTGCGAGGCAGGTGCACCCCAAGCCTGCGCCCCGAACTGAGCGGGGACGGGTCCCGGGAGGGACGGCAGGCGGAGGGCGGGCGCGGGCCGAGGGGTCCCGCCTGGAGGAGGGTCGCGGGGCGAG